AGAGAGGATGAGGCACCCCTGATCCCTTTCCCTCTCTAGTTTCAGGGTAAGGCCCCCATTAACAGGAAGAAAATGGGACAGGGATGGGTGAATGTCAGAAGTGAAGTGATACCAGGGATCCTCGCTTTCTCTGTTAAAAAAAACCCACGTTCTCTGATTAAAAACCCCAAAAGCCATGTTTTTCCTCAATCTAAATGAAATGCCACTATATATATAGGTATCCGTTGAACACAATGTTTAATTGATATATTTACAGTTTTAATACGATTAGGAAGCCTACCAGTGCCTCAATCATTATAATAAACTCTTAAATACCTATATATTTTGGCATTTGATTTTGGGGCTTTTTTATCATGGACAATCAGAATTCCCTCTGCCCCCTTCCTTCACCACAATGGAGGCCAGCTGCTCTTGTCCTCCATGCTGCTTTGTGGCACTGAGCAACCCAGATATACCAGCATCCTGCCTCTGCACATGCCATTGCCCCTCACACCCAAGCCACAGCCTCCCCATCATTGCTGATGCCCCTCACTCCTGACCCAAAGCCCCCTGCTGCTGGTGCCCTTCACTCCCAATACACAGCCCCCGGTCTTGCCGGACCTGCTGCCCCCAGGCCCCATCCCTCCAGTGTGCGAGGAAGGAGGTAGGTGTGTGGGGAAGGGGAGGTGTGGGCATAGGCAATTGTGTAGGGGCCAGGATGGGTGCAAGCAATGTTGGGGGGGGTCACATGCCCCACAGATTTCTGTGCCCACAGCAGGGTATGGGGCTGCAGTCAGACTGGACCAACTCTGGGCAGAAGCTGCCTCCATGGCCCAGCAGGCAGGACCCGGTATGAGAGGGTGTGCTGTGCTGCCATGGCCACCAAAGTGAGGTGGGGTCGGGGGAGAGGGGGGGTGACAGTGATGTGGAGTTGTGCACCCCGTTGTTGCTGGGTGGGAAGGGGGCGCCTCACCTTGGTGGTTATGGTGTTGCAGTGCTCCCTCTCACAGTGGGTCTGGCCTGCTGGGCCACAGAGGCGACTCATGCCCAGAGCTGGCCTGGCCAGGCTACAGCCCCATGCCCCACACCCCACTGTGGGCACATAAATCTGGGGGGGGGGGCACTTGCCCCCCTGCAGTGTCACCTATGCCTCCCCCCCACTGCATTGCCTGTGCCTCCTGCCCCCATAGGCTTACCTGGAAGGAGCTGCTCACATGCACATAGCACCTCCTGCCCCATGTCCTGCTCCCCTCAGCCCCAAGTGGCCCCTTCCAGGCTGGAACTCTGTCTTTAAAAGAGAAAATCCGCATTATTCCACCATGAGTGGAAAACCCGGATCTCTACTCATCATCTGTTCAAATCATTCATGAAGATGTGGCACAATACTGGACCCAGGATATACCCCTGGGAAATCCCAGTGGATACCACCACCCAAGTAGACATTGAGCCATACTTGCTGATGATCCAGCAGCTATGTGTCCACCTTGCAGTCATGTTGTCTAGTCTGCATTTCCTTAGGCTGTTAACGAGGTACTCATGGGAGACTATGCCAAAAGCCTTGCTAAAGTCAAGGTTTACCATATCCACTGCTCTTCCCTTATCCACAGAGCCTGTCATTTTCTCAGAGAAGGAAAGAAACCAGGGCCTTGAAAATAACCCAGTGATAATACAACCAGTTACTGCACTTCCTGATTTATTTGCATGCTGAAATTCCATTGTCTAGAATAAATTAGCATAATAAAATATATGAATGCTTCAGGTTCTCAGTGATGCCCAGGGACTTGTTTGTGCACAAAGGGAAGGAACACTAGATTAGCTACATTTTTTTACTATTCTTAAAGGCATTTAACAACCACTTCTGTGTGGAGGAAAGTTAAGGAAGGCAAGTAATTCTTTCTTCCTTGAAATCAAGAAGAAAGATACAAGGTAAGACTTTCTAATCTTATATGGTGTCTGGTTTTAAAAGTTTAGCTGTCAGATATTGACTAAGACCCATGAATCCCCGTAATAGGTGTTCTTCTATTCTTGGAAAAGGTCAAATTTGCTTTGTGTAGTTGCCTTGTTTCAGAACCTGAGTTTCCCATTCTTGAGTATGAGGCAACTTTATTCTCAGAAACACCTTTTTTGTTTCTCAGATGTAGTGAAATGCTGAGGAACTTTATATAATGTGTTAGAGGACAGGACTCCTGCTTGCAAAAGAAGTACCTACTCTGAAACATGAGCATATCAGTGATGGGGTGTCTAAATGGTCTTCCAGCTGTTTGTGTGCCATCTCCTCTACAACAACATTCCCATGTATGCATGTATTCCCTAAAAGCTTCTCAATTCACACATACTTCAAGGGTTGGAATTCACACACACACATACAACTTGATGAAAAGCATTTTTTAACAGATGGGTATTAAAAGTAGTGTATCAGAACCCTTGTTGCAGTAGAGGAGTAACCCTTCCTTTTTCTTCCGTGGTTTACTGTGCAAAAATATTTCACCGTCACACTGCAGATTATTTTTCTCAGTAGCTTGGGGTACTGAGTGTCTTTGCTGATTACTTTGATTACACAACTGTTATGTGGT